GCCAAACCCACGCCCGACCCACGCCCAAACCCCGGCCAAAACCCACGCCTAAACGCACGCCTCAACCCACGCCCAACCCCGCGCCCAACCCACGCCCAAACCCACGCCAAACCCACGCCAAACCCACGCCCAAACCCACGACCAAACCCACGCCAAAAATTATCCTCGCATTGAAGCTTGGTCAAGTGGACCGCGATCTTCGAGTAGCCCTTGATAAAACGCTGGTAGTAGCCGGCGAGGCCAAGGAACGAACGGACATCCGTGACGTTTCGTGGCTCACCATTCTTGGATGGCTTGAATCTTGTCCGATAGCGGACTGATGCCCTCCGGTGTGACAAAATGGCCCAAGTATTCCAGCTCTTGCCGGACCAATTCGCACTTGTTGCGGTTGGCCTTGTACTTGGTGCGGCGGAGCGTCTCCAATACTCGTTGAAGGTGCTCAAGATGATCCTCCAATGACCGGCTATAGACGAGAATATCGTCTAAGTAGACCAGCACGAACCGGTCCAACATTGCACGGAACTCGTTGGCCATTGCCGCTTGAAAGGTCGTCGGGGCGTTGGTGAGGCCAAAAGGCATGACCACCCACTCAAAATGCCCATACCGCCTCTTGAACGCGGATTTGTAACGATCGTGCCTCTTGAACGCGGATTTGTAACGATCGTTCGGTCGGATCGAGATCGGATGATATCCCGACTTCAAATCCAACTTAGAAAAAATACTTTGCGCCGCCCTATCGCTCGAGAAGATCGTCGATGCAAGGAAGAGGCCCTGCATTTTTAACGGTTTGCGCATTGAGCTTGCGGTAGTCGATGCACAATCGTAGATCTTTGTTCTTCTTCCGTACTAAGAGAATTGGCGCTCCGTATGGAGAGCTACTAGGGCGGATCCAACCCTTGTCGAACAATCATCGAGTTGTGCGTGGAGGACCGTAAGCTCCTCCTCGCTCATGCAATAAATGCAACCTTTCGGCGGCACGGCAACGGCCTCCAGAATGATCTCGTGAGAGATCGGCTGATCCGGCACCACACCGGTAGGTGACTCGAAGGTGTCGGCGAACTCGTCAAGCAAACGCACCAAGTCCCTGGGTGAAGAGTCGGCTACAGCGACGGTCCGTAGGAAACATAGGTTGATTTCGTCGGGCTGCTCGTAAGCACAAGCAGCCCGGAATGACTTGGCCGTCACCACATGGCACCGAATCGAAGGGTTTGGAAGAGGAATAGTACACGACACTTCGGCACCGAAGGCGTTGCGAACGGTAAGAGTCCACCGGTGGAAGTTGACCGTGTGATCCACACTTGCAAGCCAAGGCATTCCCAAAATAATGTCGAAGTCCGTGTCCAAAATGTCAAATGTCACCGATTCGCATGCATGAGGTGCGAAATACATCGGTACGGCCTCGATGTAGCGGTCGATAAGTTGCTGCGTCATTCTGTCCGCCAACTTGACGCCGTCGGGTTTGCCTTCCTTCGAACTTGTGCGCCAAGGCCAACCTTTTGCATAAAGGCTTGACTCATAAAATTGCGAGTCACGCCGCTATCCAGCAAAGCGGTGCAGGACGCTTGCCCAACTTGGATGCGTACATAGAGGAGCGGTGCGTTGTTGTCGTCGTATCGCTGCTTGCGAAACTCGCGGGCCACCTTGGTAACATACGCAAGGATGTCCCCCACCGCAACTTCGTCATCCATCGGCAAAGTTGGTGGTGCATATAAGGATAAGTACGTGTGAAGATGAGCGCATAGTGCTGCGCATTGCGGTCCCGACAAGCGGCCCGTGGTCGGGAGAGGAAGCCATGCGAAATCCTCGAACGTGAGCGGGTCCAATATACCTCTATGTTGAACTCGCGCGCCGAATCCCGTGCAGAACCACTTGAAGACGATAAGTCGCCGCTGTCGGACGGAGAAGATGCTGCACACACGTCTTGTCCTTGAGCATGAGTACCCAACGTAGGAACGAGCCGGGCAGCATAGTCCTCAAAAGAATAAAGAAGAGCACTATCGACTTCCGCATGTGCCTCAGTACGAAGGGCGGCCACCCGCAAAGTAACCGGTTTCGAAGGCGTCGAGATTGTCGTTGAGTCACTCCCGGCGGTGCTCAGTTTCTCGATTTGCCCTTGCCTTTAGACTGGCAGGCCATTGTGTCCTGGAGATCGCTGTAACACCACAGACAATAGCGGGATCTCGTGCGTGCCTTGAATGCTTGTTCGAACAGACCATAATAGGACCATGGGGCTGGAGCTGCTGCGTCAGGCCCGGGGCTAGATGCGGTGTTTATCTTCGCCTTGCCACGTCCTCGGCCTTTGCCGGAGCGGCCACCTTCCCGGGCGGGGTGAGTCTGTCCCCATCATTGGCAGACACGGCTCGCTAGTTTGGTTGTTTGGCTTTGTCGCCACGACCACGGCCACTTTCGCACGATGTTGATCTCTGCTCAGGTCGGGCGGAGACGAACGTTGGAGATTCTTGGCCTCCTTGTTCGTGACAATAATCTGCGCAGCCTTGTCGAAGAGTCGTGCTGGTGTCGTCAAGGTGTCCTCGACGTGAGTCAAGGCGTTGCCCAACTTCGGACACGACCTCGAGATGAATTAGTGTTTGATGGCTTTGAAGCCCATTTGAATGTCTGGGAGGGATGTCAAGCGTTGGTACTCGGCAATCCAATCAACACTCGGTAGCGTGCCTTTATGTTCGAAGACCATAAGCTTGTCCATTGCCTTGATCTTCGGTGGCTCTGCTTGGAACTGCTTATGCCACGCCGCCTTTAGATTAACCCAGCTGATCTTGGTATGCAAGTTGGCAGCTACCACTCCGTACTTGGACAAGAGATTGTCCAACCATGCTTGGCACGCGCCCCCCGAGGGGGAGTATAAGTACCCGTGGTGCTTGTGTTCTTTGATGTAGTGTAGCTGTAACGTGAGCTCGAACTTGTGGAACCATGAAACCAGATTTGCCTTCGTCAAGTCGCAGAAGATCTCTTGCCCATCGAACTTTGGAGGTGTCTCGCGTGGTTCCGAGCTCGAGTGGTTGGCGGCAGCACATATCCGCTGCTCCAACTGTTGCATTGCGGTTTGCTGTAACTGCACGCCGTCCTTGAGGGAGCCGACGTCAATCTCCAATGCCTCGAGGCGATCGGAGGTGTTGGAAGAGCTGGCATCGGGGGCGGCGACAGGTCGCTGCTCCAACCGCCGGAGGCGGCCGTGAACTTGAGTCAACGCGTCGTCGAGGCTGTGGATGTCCTCCTGCTGTGTAATGCATGTTGCCAGGAGGTCCGTGAGATGGGAGAGGAGTAGAGCGATCTTGTTTTCACTGTCTTCTATCTTGCCATTCTCGGCCTCGGCCCGCCAATCCGCTGCCATTGTGAGCAAAGCTTGTTCTCCGCTGAATATCTTCTTGCGACGTTGGACTTGTTCTTCATCGGCAGCCTTTGCTGCTGCCTCGTCGTGCTGGCGCTGCTGTTCAATTGCCAACAGACGTGCCTTCTCGGTGTCCTCTGCCTTTTGCTTTGCTGCGGCTGCTACTGCATCCGACCGTTGCTCAGCTTCGGTAATCAGAAGCAGCATCCGGGCCTGATAGGCCTCGACCGGTTCCCCGGACTTCTGGTCCATGACAGCTGTTTGCGAGCGCAAAAGCATAGACCAGGCTGGGGGCCTGCTGACGTGGTACTCCCTGCTGCTGACGTGGCACTGCTGTTGGCTGATGTGGCCAGCTGGCGTGGTCCGCTGATGCAGTCTGCTGACGTGACCTGCTGACGTGACCTGCTGACGTGGTCTGCTGACGTGGCCTGCTGACGTGGCAACTCACCAATGCTGCGGCAGGGGGTACCCGGAGACAGATAGAGAAGGTAAGACCAGAGGGGGCAACAACATAGGTGGGGAGGGGTGGGTGGGATAAATCGCCCAGATAAGGAGCCACTAGTAAAAAAAAAAGAAGTTTGAACTTCGCAAAAATTTTTTCGAGAAAATAAAAATCCTGAGTTTTGCAAGTTCAGTAGGTCTCCCGACCTCGCTTGAAGTGCGAAATTATCAATGAGAAAAAAAAATTCGAACTTCAGACTGCCAATGATTGTAAGGTAGTAAAAATCATAAACTGCGAATAATTTATTTTTTTGAAAAGACATAATAAGTATTCGGACTTACTCAGATGAGAGTATTCGCAGTTTGGAAAATGGTACTGCAAGAGGGATTTCCCGTACCGTTTTCAGAAAAACGAATTTCGGGAAAAAATATTCCGAATTTCCAAATAACGGGAAATTGCAAAAGGAGATCGAAATTTTCGAGAAAAAGATATTCCGGATTTTCAACAACGAAATTTCGGATTTTCAGAAGAAAACGAAAACGGAAATATCAGATGTTGCGCTATTGCGATTTTCCACAACCGATATAGCGGGAAAACAAAATCCAAGGAAAGAAAAAAATTTCGATTTTCGGCAGTGAGGTCAAAATCGCGATTTTGGGGGCTAACTAGTGTGCTCTAATCAATCAATCAAGACTAATCAGCTACCTAGTCCCCGCACACGTGTCAGATCAGGTTGTCCTGATTCACGTGTGGTGTTCCGATACCAACTGTTACATGTCCAGTTGGGCGATGTACATAGAAACCAAGGATCCACAATGTGATAAAAAGGACTGAATGGACAATGCAGTGCAAGTGGAGTCTCAACAAGCAATGTGCATTCTGATACATACAAATGGTGTTTTATAGCGCATTGGAAGATTTGGATACAAGTCCTGACCTGACCGGGACTGACCTCTTTCACGTAGTACAAGATAGCGTAACAGAATGCTAGAATACTAAGGACTAGCCCACTCAATGTTTCAACGCAGACCAAACATACATCATGCTCATCACAAGGTGTGATGGGGCCCGGCGCTATACACAGGAAGGAGGCGCCAGGTCCAGACATACAAAGACAAAGAGGAGGGGATCAGACGAAGAAGAGGAAGGGGGAGATGGGAAAGTCGTCAACACCAAGTCTTGTTACAAGTCCCAAATAATCCCTCTTCAAAATGTCTGAAGTCCAATGTCG